AAACAACAGTATCGTCTGTTAAGGAAGTCTTTCATGATTCTCCAGACTGACTTAGTCTCCAGGAAGAATGTTCTTTACTCCTTTTTCCTTTTGTGATTGTTGTTGTTATGTGTCTGTGACCTGTAGCGACCTTGTGTACAGCATCTCAGATTCCTGCCCTGTCCTGAGTCAGTTTCACTAATTCTGACATATCAACCCCCTATTGCCCCAGTTATGTATCAATCCATCTCATCTGGGGTCTTCCTCTCCTGTCCTGTCCTTCACCCTTCCAAGCATAATGTCCTTCTCCAAAGACTAATCTCTCCTGGCCACGTGGACAAAGTATGTGAGATGGAGCTTCAAAATTTTAGCCTTCAAGTAGAAATCTGGTTTCACCCTCTCCAAGACAGACCTATTTGTTTTCTTGGTGGTCCAGGATATGTTCAAGACTCTTCTTCAGCACCACTACTCGAAGACATTGATTCTTCTTCTGTCATCCTTAGTCATCGTCCAGCTTTCTTATGCATGGCAATTAATTGTGAAGACCATGAACTGAATTAGGCACACCTTAGTCTCTATACTGACACTTTTGCTTTTTAGCACTCTGGAGAGCCTGACAGAAAATTTTCCCATTGGGATATTGTAGCTAATGTTAGATGGATCTTAGCTGCAAGCAGGGAGTACCAGAGGAATGTCTATCTGTTTCATTGACAGTGCAAAGGCATTTGACTCTGTGGATCATAACAAACTGTGGCTGACTTTGAGAAGAATGTGAATACCAGAACACTTGATTGTGCTAATGAGAAATCTCTACTGGGACCAAGAGGCAGTCATCAGAACAGAGCAAGGAAACACTGCATGGTTCAAAATTGGGAAGGGCGTACTCTAGGGATGTGTCCTATCTCCATACCTTTTCAACCTGTATGCAGAACAAATTATCCGGGAGTCTGGGCTCTATGGGGTCAAGATTGGTGGAAGATCTATCAACAATCTGCGATATGCAGATGATACAACCCTACTTGCTAAAACCGAGGAGGACCTGAAACACCTGCTTAAGAGGGTCAAGGACTGCAGCCTCCAGTATGGATTGAGTCTCAATGTCAAGAAGACAAAGATTCTCACCACTGGACCAATCGGCAGCATCAGGATGGATGGTGAAGAGATGGAGATTGTTCACAGCTTCAGTTTGCTTGGCTCCAGTCAAGACTCTTGGCACCAGTAGCCAGGAAATTAGAAGACGTGTTGCCGTGGGAAAGTCTGATGTTAGGGACCTTTCCAAAGTACTGAAGAGCAATGGTGTCTCTTTGGAGACTAAGGGCATCTGATACAGGCCATGATCTTTGCTATCACTTGTTATGCATCAGAGAGTTGGACAATGACTAAGGAGGATAGAAGGAGAATTGATTCCTTTGAGCTGTGGTGCTGGAGAAGCATATTGAGGGTACCAGGAAAACAAACAGATTCCTCCTGGAAAGGGTCAAACTAGGCTGCTCCTTGGAGGCAAGGATTATGAGGCTCTTTCTGACATACTTTGGACATGTGACAGGTCCTTGGAGAGGGACTTCAGGCTTGGTAGGGTGGAGGGACAGCGCGGAAGGGGAAGGCCCCTATGAGGTGGATTGATTGAGTGACTAGGGTAATCGGGATGGGTGTATTGGAGACAGTGCGATTGGCACAGGACAGAGCAGAGTTTAGGGCTGTTGTACATAAGGTCACTATGAGTCGCAAGCGACTCGACGGCACATAACAACGACAATAATCCGTCTTTTGATTTCCTGTCTGCTAGTGTTGAGAGTCTTGATTGTGAAGCTGAGCAATCTGTAATTGTTAACAACCTCAATCAGTGTTGAGAATCTTTGTCTTCTTTGTTGTTGCACTTCAATCCATTTTGAAGACTGTATGTCCTGACCTGCAAAAAGCAGTTCAGGTTGTCTTCAGTTTCAGCAAGTGTTATATCATCTGCATAACTAGGCTGTTGAGGAGTCTTCCTTTAATACTTATGCCAAATCCTGCTCATAAAACCCTGCTTTCCAAATAATGTGTTTTGCATATAGATTGAAAAGGTTTGCGGGACAGGATGCTTCCTGATGCACTCCTTTCCTGATTTTGAACCATGCAGTGTTTCCCTCCTTAGTTCTGAGGACTGTTTCCTGGTCCAACTTTAGGTTTTGCATAAGAACAATCAAGTGTTCTGGGATTCCCATTCTCAAGGGTAGCCACAATTTGTTGTGTTCCACACAGTCAAATGCCTTTGAAATGAAACACAGACATTGCTCTGGTACTCTTTGGTTTCCATCTGACATTGGAAATAATCTCTCTAGCGCCATGACCTCTGTCAACCCAGCTTGTAACTCTGTTAATATACTGTTCCATTTGTTTCTGAATAATCTTAAGCAAGGTTTTGCTAGTGTGTGCTCTTAGTGATATTCGATAATTTCCCCACTTTGTTGGGTCACATTTTTTTGGAAAGGGAGTAAATATGGGTCTCCTCTAGTCAGCTGGTCAAGTAGTTGACCTCCAGATTTCTTGGCACAACTTGGTGAGCACTCTTAAGACAGCAGCTCTTTGTTGAAATACGTCAGTTGGTATTCCATCAATTCCTGGGCCTTTATTTTTTGCCAAGTCCTTCAGAGAAGCCTCACCTTCCTCCGTCATCACCATTGCCTCTTGATCTTATATTGTTTCTTGAGATTCTTCTGTGTTAGCCATTTCTTTTTGGTACAATGACTTTGTATACTCCTTCCATCTTTTTTTAATGCTTCCTGAATCACTCAGTATTATTAATACTTAAGTATTGCACCTAGAAGCTTGAATTTGTTCTTAAGTTCCTTCAGCTTAAGAAATGTCAAGCAAGCTTAGCCCTTTTGCTGTTCCTCTTTACAATTTCATTTATGTTATATCTTGTTGCTTTTCTGCCTTTTCTTCTCTGCCTTTATATCAACCTTCCTGTTAGTATTTTATTTCTTTGTTTAATTATACTAGTTTATGTGTAAAATTTGAATACATTGCTTTTCAGACCAGATTCTTCCAGTTTCCCTCACCCCACCCATCAAATTGTACAACCCCGTGATTAATCCACCTTCCCCTGCACATCCTCATCCTTCTGCTTCTACCCCTCCCCCCCATACACGTTCTATGACTCATTTACTTTGGACATGTTATTATGAGAGGCCATTCCCTTGGTTCACACCTCATGTTTGGCAGGGGGTCAATGAAGTAAAGACCGCTAATGCGAGTGATTGATACAGTGGCTTCAGCAGTGACTCAAACATAATGACTACTGTGAAACACCTAGGACATTCTATTGTACATAGGTTCACTAGGAGTTGGAAACAACTCGGGAGCACCTAACAAGAATACCTAAGAATGTATATATTTAATTGCCCTTTTCTTAACAGTTGGAATATATGTAACAGTCAAAGGGGACCCTTTTATTCTTCTGCCACAAAAATTTATTTGTACGAACAATGATGAGGAAGAGGCCAAACATAACATTTTGGTGGTGATTTTTTTTCTAAACTCAGTACAGATGTAAATGCGTTGAAAATAAATTCATCACTATTTTTCTGAAATTTTTTATTGTTTGACTTGTTACAAATGATGTGTTTATATTTTTTAGTTAGATTTACTCACTCACACTCACTTGTTGCTGTTGAGTCAGAACCAACTCATAGCTGTGCTTCCGTCAGGTTTTTGAGGCTGTAAATTTCACAGGAGGAAATTTTCCATCTTTTTTCCATGGAGCAGCTGATGAATTCTACCTGCACCCCTTTGATTTGGCAACGTAACTCCCTACTGACTAGGTTAATAAGTCTATTACAGACAATTTAGTAGAAAAATGTTTCGTTAATTTTCATACATTGAAGTGATAATCAACTTCAGTTAAAGAAGAAATAAATCTTTCATTTCCTCAGTCATTGGTTGAGAAGATTTTGAGAAATTTCTTATATTTTTAAAATATATCCTGTAATATGTATATTCAAATCTGAAATTTTTTTCCCTTTTAAGAGCCAAAGTTTATTTTTTTCTTAAAAATGCTCAAGAAGAGTTTAAAAAATTCTAAAGATTAGAGACATCTAGGATTAATAAAGCTTATGCTCCTTCATTGCTTCAGCTTCTACTTCATTTTGGCAAGTATGGTGCCTTGCAGTTATTTGCAGATTGAAAGGAGACATTCTTTTCCAACTTCTTGCATTCATAAAAGTTTATCATGGTAATAGTGATGAAAATAACACTTCAACAGCAATCATGGATTTTGTAGTGCATGCTGTTGTTGTTGTTATCTGCCGTCAAGTCGCTTGCGACTCATAGTGGCCCTATGTACAGCAGCCCTAAACTCTGCTCTGTCCTGTGCCAATCCCACTGTCTCCAAAACACCCATCCCAATTACCCCAGTCACTAAATCAATCCAACTCATAGAGGAGGGCCTTCCCCTCCTGTACTGTCTCTCCACCCTCCCAATCATGATGTCCCTCTCCAAGGACCTGTCCCTCCTTACAACATGTCCAAATTATGTTAGATGGAGCCTCAGAATCCTTGCCTCCAGGGAGCCGCCTGTTTTAACCCTTTCCAGCATGAATCTGTTTGTTTTCCTAGCAGTCCATGGTACCCTCCATATGCTTCTCCAGCACCACAGCTCAAAGGCATCAATGTACAAGAGATGTTGCAATGCATAAAGATGTATAATCTTGATCCCAAGGCACTAAAGTAAATCTAGAAATTCAAATTACACATCTAATTGATAAAAAGCAGATGTATTTGCAGACTTTATATGAAAATGAGTCATCCATTATTGTCTGCCATCTGGTCCAAATTTATCATGCTGAGCCAGGATCTTGGCAGGTCTTAACTGATGTGTATAGCAGCACATCACAATAGCAACAACAGCCAAATAGTCACCAGGAGGAAAAAGGAATTGTGTTTTAATTTATCTTTTCTAAAAATGTGATTCTTTCTATAAAGATAAAATTAATTTTTAAATAAAAATTTCCATAAAGAATTTTAATTTTTTGATCCCATAGGTATGCAGCCACTCATGTATTCTGTTCAGGAAGCATTAAATGCAAGGCCATGGTGGATTCGTGTGGGGACTGACATTTGTTACTATAAGTAAGTATTTTTAATATTATTCTTAGTACTTTTATTCTAAGTATAGGACATTCTTAATGTCCTATAATGGGAAATTCACTTATAAAGTAAATACCAACTTCATTCTCTTTGATTGCAAAGCTATGCAGATTTGTTGCTACATTTTTTGATTTGTGATGCTATAATGTAGTCACACTGACTTTTAACAAAAGTTCTTTTCAAGGGCTTTGTGCAGTAAAAGAAAGTATAGTTTGTCTATAGACTTAGACAGACAACCTTGTCTTTACCATGTAGATAACTATGTCTATTTAGCTTCTTTCATTCTTTTGTGGTTGTTAGATGCTGTCAGATAGATCACAGCTCATGACCACTCCATATGTGCACAGTAGAATTGCTCGGTAGGGTTTTCAACATTGTGAACTTTCATTATTAGACTTGTTTACTGAGTTACCTTAGGGTAGGTTCAAACAGCCAGCCTTTTGGCCAGTATAGTTATGAACTTAACCATTTATGCCACCCAGGACCTCTCTTCAGCTTTAAAACTATTGAAACTCTAATAAATAAAACTAAATTTAGAAACTTCCAGCTGTGTTTTATTATTTCTATGGTAATCATTATCATTGAGTCAGAACCCACCCATAGCTGACCCTGCAGCAGGTTTTCAGACACTGTAAATCATATTGAGGTTGTGAGGATTGTCCCTTTTTCACCTGTGAAGCAGCTGGAAGATTTAAATTTCCTGTCTTTGGATTGGCATTGCAACTCCTTACAATTAAGTAGTCGACCAGAGTTCTTTCGTTTCTATAATAGTAAGAATAACTTTTTATATTCACACAGGAATATTTACTTCATCTTAGTTTCTAAAATATTTTAACTAAGATGTGTCCCACAGTCACAACATATCATTTTATCAGAGTGCCATTTATTTATGAGATATATTGTCACTTTGCTGTCATATATGTAGTCTACTTTGCAGACGAGAAATAAGTGCTTAAGATAATTTAGTATGTCTGTATACAAATGGGATTGCTCTCTAGTCTACTTGTAAGTAATCTCTAGGGGTATTGTTACACATTGCCTCTTATTTGTATTCTTTGTCTGCTTATAGTATGCTCCCATATATAGCCTATAC